CCCCAAAACCCCAAAACCCCAAAACCCCAAAACCCCTAATAAACCCAAACTTGTTGATGCAATTATTAATTAAATTTGATTATGAACATGGAAGGGAAAGATCAAAACTTTGCAGTACCAGTAAAGAAGAGAGCTCTTGGAGATGGGAGCCTTTCCACTAAGAGTAGCATCACTCAATGAAGCGAATCTTTCAGTAAACTTAGTAAACTAGGTAAGTCTCCTTCTTAGTTTTAACGAGGCAAAACATTCTGCAGGAGAGATCTATAAATATGATAAAATTTGAGAGATTCATTGATGTTGTTATTTTAGAGTGCTCAATTGCCACTACATTGGGAGCTTGGTAAAAATATTCCTTTATTTCCTTAAGCTAACACCATTCTCTTAAATTGATCTAGTGCTAGTTGAAATATCTGGGCACCCAGAAACTTAAGATCTTTAGCTTAAAGTTTATTTGGAACGAATTGTGAAATACTCCTTCAATTCACTTAAATTGAAAATTAAGGTTTACCTTCTTTGTGCCTTTAAATTAGAAAATTCTGACACCTACTTTAGAAAGAATAAAGAAATTTAAGAGTGCTGGGAATCGGCTGGACAAAGAGGAGAGGATCCTCAAATTTCTCAAAGCGATGAACATCGAACAAGTCCATCCAAGTGAGATTAACTTTATGAGAGAAATCACTTGAAGGGATAAATCCGGACTGACCCCAACTCTTTCATTAGGAAACAATACTTTACTAAAGAAAAGATCTAAGAAGCTCAGGCTTACATGAGACTTCTCTGATTGCATCAATTCAGTTTAAATGATCCATTATATTAATTACATTAAGAAACATTGTCAGTTAACTCTGTGCTCTTCGGGATTTTAATTTGGGCCAGTTGTCCGTAAAGTTTGTGGTAATCCATCAAGATTATATTTGAGATAAACCAAGTCTATTCATAAATTAAGGCAGGGAAAGGATCGCTACTATGCCCTATTAGTCATTAGAATTTCTCTTAGCTAAGAGGGATAGGTAGAATAAGAAATTTTGAAATTTTAATAATAATTCATCCTATTTCCACATATTGGTGACAAGTCCTTGGATGCTTCTAAATAGTACTTACCTTTTCATATCTCCTTGATTTTTCTAACTCTCGTCCAGTAAGGCTCCATACGTTTGGAAAAATAGGAAATATTTAGCTATATTTTAGTTATAAATAGTGTCACTGGATTTTTTTTGCTTAGCTTCTTTCCTTTTCAATCCTATTTAATTAGGTAGTACACCGAAATGTTAATTCACAGAATTGTGAAGAGAGATTATGGGATAATAGCCGGTCTCCTGCAAGTTTGACTTTCATCTATTAATTATTTCACTGATAATAAATGGCTGATTTCGCTATCACATCTGAGTAAAAGTTTTGAGATGCAAAATTTGCTGATTTCTCAAGGAAGAATTTAGTAAAATGATTATATAAACCATAAAAATTATAAAAACCTCTACTTCAATATTCTTGGAGGTAATCGGGGTTTTGGGGTTTTGGGGTTTTGGGGTTTTGGGG